GTCACAGTTTTTAATATTTACTTATAAATTTTGGTAACAATACTGGTGTGTCTAGAATGTTGTGGTTGGAATTAGAACGTTAAATCTGGGACCTGAAATATAATTTTGTGGAGGGGATTGCTATCTTCATGAGGCCGTCTCAAAGCTTAGAAAAACCTTGTCTCTCCTCCCATTTCAGAGACCCCCTGGTATTCTAAAGCCAATTGAATTCATCTTTTAAAACAGCAGCTGTGCCCAGAGCCAGACACATGGGGTCCCATGGGCATGGGTAGGGCTGTCCCTCCATCTGGAGAAGCTCACAGGAGCCCCTGCCCGCAGGGGGTGAGGAGAGAGTTCCAGCCCCTGTCTGTGTCCCTGGGAGACATCGGGGGTGGGGGGGGAGACCTGCAGAGCACGGAGCACCTCCTCTCACTGCCTCCCCCAGCACAATGCGCCAGACTCTCCCGCTGTCCCCGGTCCCAGGCGCCTCGCCGCACACTCCACCTCCCAGCTCTTCTCTCCGCCACTATCCCCGGGGGCTCTGCTTTTTCGGGGCAGCTTCTTCCCTCCCCATTCCTCGGGGCCTGGCAGTAGCAGTGGTCGCCTGCTTTACTCTGTCCCACCCGCCACCTCCCTGCTCCTCAGAGTCCTGGTGTCAGGCCCTGCGACCGCCCCGATCGCACCTCCTGACTAGGCACGGCATCGCGGAGTAGGAGGGCTCCTCCAGCCCAGTCCCTGGTGCCATTGCTTCACCCAGACCCTGAGGGACCAACCCTCCCAGTTGGCTGAGGCCTGTCGTGGTCTTAGCACTGAAGCTTCCACATTCTGGGAAAGTTTTCAATCCCTGGCAAGCCAGGATGGTTGGCCGCCCTAACACTGGCAGCCCCACCGGGAAGGCCCCGGGGGTCCATGTTGGTGGGAAGTGCTGGCTCCTGACTCTGAGTTGAGGCCCCCCCCCACTGGTCCATCAGGGGCCATTAGCTGCTCTGTGCCTGAGGGCTGAGCAAAAGACCTGGGGCTGGAAGACCTGGGCTTCACTTCTCCCGTTGTCCCCATGGCTGCAGGGACCAGAAGTGAGTCAGGGGTCACGGTGTGGGTGAATCAACATGGTGTCCACTGACTCTTCAGCGTTAAATAAATACAATTTTACTCATGCCTACTGTCCCCCATTTGAGCCTCACTGCCAATTTTTAAACACAAATTTTGTGTGACTATCATCTCTGGTTCCTCAGTTTTTCTCTTCTTACATCCTTGTAGCAAAGTTTTCACTCGATGTTTGAGCTCAGTGTTTGTCTGCAAAGATCTGTGAACATGAGTGACTGGACACCCAGCAGGTCTCCGTCCTGCTCTGTGGGCACCCCTTCGAGCGTTCACTTGCCCGCCCCAGGCACACTGACTGGTGTTGAGTGAGCCGTCCTCTGGTGGCTTCTTTTCTGGCTGTTCTCCTCACTTGCGTTTGTCCCACCCCTGGGCCTGGGCGCCAGCGCCCAGAGCTCCCACCTGCAGCTCTGGGTCAGTGACACCCCATCCCGGGACGGTCCCCACACCTCCTGCTGCAGCCCCTCCTGAGGACCCTCATCATCCTCGTCATCGCCAGCGTCACCCCCATCACTGCCACTGTGTGCCATGCTCTGTGGGCAATATGCCCTCCTGTGCCTCCACTCTTCACGTGAATCTTTGACAAATGTCTAATCGGTTTTATCAATGAGGAGACGCCCGGAGATCCACTTGGAAAAAGACCCAGATGGGGCGGACATGCTTCTGACATCTGGCAAAGACCGTCTGGTCACATGGCCCCCATCCCCTCACACTCCACATACCTTAAATGAGACTCATTTCCTTCCCCTTGGGTCACTTTCTATAACCTCTGCATAGAAATACATCAGAAACTTAGCCATGAGTTCCCGGTTCTGATTTCCCTATTGCATCATGATGAACAGTCCATCCTTGTCGTGGTCCTTCCCTCCTCCGGCTCCTGCTGGCTTTTCAGAATCCCACCCGGGGGCCCGATGGCAGGGCTGGGAGCCTGCACTCTTCAAGGTGCAGGGTGTCTAGATTTGAGGAAGTTGCTTTGTTTCTGCGAGTTTCAGTTTGACAGTGCTGGCGACCTAGGCTTGTTGTGAGGATTCCCAAGACAGAATGAAGGAAACATTGGCCTGTGGGCCCAAAGCGCTTAGATGCGTGCCAGCCGCCCCGCCAGCCGGCCGCCGCCCCGCCCTGGCCTCCACGGGGCGGGCGCCGCTGTCCCACAGCAGTGCTTCCCCTCTGGGCAGGCCTGTCCGCTCCCCGGCCTTCTGCTCACACTCCCCCCGCAGCCCCGTCCCTCCGTCCGTCTCACCCTGCAGGCCGCACTGCGCTCTCCCTCCCTCCCGCCGTTTGCCCCCCACCCCTTCCGAGCTGGCCGGGGGGTCTCCTTCCTCACCGGTGGAGGCCAGCCCTTCCCTCTTCACAGGGGCCTCCGGGCTCGCTGTGGCGGCCGGTGCGCCCTCCTTCCCACCTCGCATCCCTGGGCTCACTCAGCACTCAGCCTTCACGCGCCCTGCTTTGTCCCTCTGTGTTCGTGCCTCCACCTTCAACCCTGGGTAAGTTCCTTAAACGCGGGGAATAAGTCTCATACTTCCAGGTTACCTCTTTAGAGCGGCGCACACAGCAGCATCTGAATCACTGATTTATAACAGGCGAATCAGGTCGGTGGGCTCCTGGCTCTTAGGCGGACAAGTGTCAGGCCAGGTATGTCGGGGGGCAGAAAAACAAGGAGCCCCCGACTGCAGGCCTGAAGCCGTGGCGCACAAGGTAAAAGGAAGAGCGTGCAAGTTGAAATTGTGAATTCCAAAATTTGACATGTCAGCATAGCTGTTAATCCCCCCATAAAATGCACTTTTTTTGGTACCTACTGGGATAACAATTTGACAATCGGAGAAATGTTTTCTCACTTCTTTATGGAAGGAAAGAGATGGACCCACGTAACGGCGCACAGACCTGAGCCCCGCAGGGCCCGGGAATCTATTTGAGACGCGCCCTGCCCCCACCTTCCCACCAACGGCATGTTTCGGACTTCTTATCCCCCACCTGCCCAGCCCCCGGCCCTTCTAGCACCCCTTCTAATGCTGGCTTCTTGGGGGAGGGTGGTGGTGTTCTTTTTAAACAAAGAAAGTATATTTTGTTTTGATCTATTTTTATTTTAATAGATCCTCATTATTTCATAAGAGTTCAGAGTACATGATGAATTGTAGAGAACCCTTCCAGGCATGGATTGCTACTTACTGACCCACCTCTGATGGTGATGGTTTAAAGCTATGGTTTATCATCTCCTGTGGCTTTGGGGTTGACTGGGTCAGCTGAGTGACTCCCAGTCGGGGGTGTCTCTCTCCTGCAGTCACAAGTCAGGGGGTGGCTGGGACCTTAGTGGTCTGGGGGCTGCCCCGGTCTGGGTGGCCCCCCAGCGGGCTGCTGTGGCCGGGGATCTCCCCAGAAGCTCTCCACCAGCCTGCCTACATAGGCCTCCCTGCACCATGGAAGCCAGCATAGAACCATGCATTCCGAGAGGCCCCAGGGGGAGCCTCAGGCATCTTTGTGACGCCGCCTGGGAAATCCCAGATTGTTGCTGCCACTTAGGTATTGTCATTTGAGTCACCAAGGCCAGTCCAGATTCAAGCAGAGGGAAACTAGGTTTTCCCTCTAACCTGGGAGCAGCATCCCCGTTCTGGGATGTAAGGAAGGGTTGGTGGCCATTTCTAAGACTATCACAAGAAGTAAACATCTCATTAAGATACAAGCACACCAAGACCAGGTAGGTTCACCTGGCAGGTGTCAGTGAGCCCCGCACACTGGCCATGCAGCACAAGGCTCATGTGTCTCCTCAGGAGCAGTGCAAATCAGTACACTGTGGACCTGGGTGGTGGTGAGCAGATATGAGATCTGGGAGCCGGTAGATCAGGGAGGGTCGAGGGTCCACTGAACCATGAAAGGGTGTCAGCTTTCCCAGCCACATGCTTGTCAGCATATACTGATCATCTGTGAGTCCGTCATCTTTTGAAGTTATCCACAGAGTTGATGATATATTAAATCTTTTGTCATTTTTTAAAGAAACACTCCATGTAAGCTGTGAGGAAGTCAATTTGATCAAAAACCTTTCTTTACACAATTGTTTTGTGACATCGTTTTAATTTTTGTAATGCTATAAATTTTAGAAATGTGTTTATTTGTAATCTACACACATTTCCTAAGTAGGCATTTTTCCTTTTAAATTCTTCTTCCCTCTTTAGGAAGCCAGTTTGTACTCTCTGCTGAGTCTGCTGGCCGGAGCCTTGCCTTTGTTTTAGGTCTCAGAGCATTTTCCAGGCGCAAGGACCGCCCTCCTCAGAGCCCGGGGCCCAGCTGTGAGAGCAAACGGTCGCCAGGAAGCTCTGGACCACGCTGGTGGCCTCGGTAGCACTGTGAACGGCCTCACCGCACATTTTAAAGCCCTTCCTTGCAGCTATGCTATTAATTTACCTCACTGTCAGAACTTTGTTCTGAATGAACTTTTCACATTTACTGTCTAACTTTCAGACTGGAAAATTGTTCATATGAAATGCATAACTGTATACAATATGTCTTGCTTTGTATGTACCACACAATGTCTCTGCAAACGAGCAGCATAATTTTAAATCTGTGGAAGATTCCATAAGGGCGAGATCTCACAGGATCTGTAATGTGGGCAGTTTCTAGAGAGATAAAAACAAAATGGGCCTGAGCTTCCCAAGGCTAACGTGGAAGTTGGGCTTTACTTTGAAACACAGAGGGGGTCCCGGGGTCCAGGCAGAGCAAGCCAGAGGCAGGCCCATGCATCCCGGAGCAGCAGCCCGGGCCCAGGCGAGGAAAGGCAGGGGCTGGCAGGTGCCAGGTCTCCCTTCCCCGCTGACAGTCCTGACGTGAATCGTCAATTGCTGTATCTAACGACAGGGCACTCATTACATTCGTCACCTGCCATCTCGTAAAGATCATGTGCCCAGCTTTCCAGGGACTCCTGGTTTTGATCCCCAGTTATGTATTTCCCGAGGACCTGCCCTACTCAAGCACTGCCTCAGCTGCTTTCTGCAGACACACCCGGCCACATCTCATGACACTGCAGGAAGACCCCACACAGGACGGGCGAGGGCGTCGCCGTATGGGCACGGTGACCTGTCTGTGGGGGTGCAGCTTTGGGGGCAGGTCTGGCACAGGGGCCCCAGAGCTGCGTCGCTGACCAGGGGGCAATCACGGCCTCTCCCAAACACTCCCACACCTTCCCAGGCAGTGTGCACAGCGGCCTTGCTCACCCAGGTGACGGACTGGGTAAAGGAGTGTGCATGTCCGCATGCAAACTCACGGCCATACATTAAAAATCAGCTCAAAGAGTCATTCCCTTGAGGAGCAACACAATACAGTTCCCCCCCACCCGTCCATGAACTTCCCCCCGGTGTGACGGCGGTTCCAGGGAGTCACACGGTTATTTTGTAACCATCAGGGCATACGTGGTTAATCATTTGCATTTGGTCAAATAGGCGTTGCTTTGGAAGTAGGAAGTGGAAATTCAGCAGCTTGCTTTTTGGCCAGTGCTGGCCTGTCACTGCCTTTTTTCTCAGTGGTTATTAACATTTCATCCTGAGAGAAGCGCATTGGTGATGTGGGCACCTGGAGCATCTCTGAGGACAGTGCAACCAGACAACCCACTCCGGGCCTCAGCGCTTCTCACGGTGAGCATGGCTCAGCGCCCTTCACTCCTTTCAAAAACATCTTAGCTTCTTTGAGACCCTGTCTAAGGAAGGTAGGCATGGAACTGCTTTACTCATATGAATTCCAGAATTCTGGTGCATGGGCTGTGTTTACATTTAATACAGCATATTCTTATTTTCACAAATACACTGTCCTTAATATTTTCAGTGAAAGTACTGTATTCTCAAGAAGTTCACTTTTCCTCTAAATATCCAAAAGGTGATTTTATTCTGACTGCCTTGCACAGGAGTCAGGGCAATGGCTTGGGAACTGCTTTTCTGTCTGGTGACTGTCCACAGGCCATTGATCTCCAGAGAAACACAGTTCTGTATTTAACTAAGCACATAAAAAGAGTTTGAAAGTCTAAAAAGTAAGCTAAGCAATGTTCTGGGGGCAAAGCATAAAGTGATTCATGCAATGGAAGGTAAGGAGCAGGCACTGGGAGCAGCTGGAGGTTGAGCAGGAAGGGGCTTGGGGGGGTCAGGACAGAGAGGTTGATTGGGTGGGAATTTCCGTGGGGCTCAGCGTAGTGCAGAAAGAGCTCTGAGCACAGCTGTAAATGTGGGGATGGTCGTGACGCCAGTGTCTCTGACCATAAAAGAACACATAATAGTCTTTATAACTGTCGGCCGCAGATTCCACCCAAAACCTATGCTGTAGCAGAAAGTGGACAGTGTGGGCTTAGCGCTCTCAGGAGACTGACGTGAGCTCTCAATTAAAGCTCTTCTTGAAATGATTACAGATATAATCGCTGTAAAAAAATTTAAAGTTTCTGTAAAAACAAGCTTCCAAAGAAGCAAAAGGAACCCAAAGAAAAAAGAAAAAAATCACAAACCTATACATATAACATTGGAAAAAACCTAACCTTCTGGCTTCTCTCTTAACCACTCTTATTCAAAAGCAGAAGGAAGCCAGCCTAGAGTTTCAGCTCCACTGGTTTATCTAAAAAAGGATAAAACACGGTGCCCGTGATTCCGATGAACTGAGCCCGCCCTGCCCTCCCTGAGTACCTGCCACTGCAGTGTGCGAGATTCTGGTACCAGCGAGCAGTTTAAAATGAATGTACCACCTAAGGCCTCATGGGAATTCCTCAGCCCTCAGTAAGACCCCATGGAGGCCAGTGAGTTGGAGGGGTAAGAGACAAGCAGCCAGATAGGCTGTGGTTTCTCATCTATGAAATGGGCACAATGTCTGCTTTAAGGGGTCTTTGTGTGATTAGAGGAGATAATAGGTGTAAAGCAGGGGCCCAATGCCCAGTATGCAATTAGAACTTAATTTATAGCACCCCCACCTGCCCACACATACAGGTGCACACACCTGCACCCAACAAGCATACACATATATGCACACACCAAATAGGTACATGTGTGCACACAACATGTGAACATACAACATGTACACATGCACACAATCATGCATACATGCATATGCACACAGAACATACACACATACATACACATACACACACAACACATGAATGAACAACATATACACAGGCACACACTCATTTTGTTCTTGTTCCTTGTCTTGTGGGTAATCAGTATGTATGAAAATAAGGATGGATTTAAGATCTTATGATTTAATTTTAAAAAGCTATTGAATTTGTTAAATTTGCCTAACTTACAATTTTAACACAGTTTTCCTTGCTGGTAATATTTTGATAAACAAGACTAATGTGTCCCCATATTTCCCTTTCCTGGGCAGAGCCTGCCCTCGCCCTAGGGGACCAATAGTCGCAGTCGGTGTCGTCCCCTTCCTTGGGTGTCATCTGCCTTGAGGCTCTTGCTTCCCTCTTGCTGCCCCCCTTGTTGGGCCCAACAGAGAGCGGACCATAATGCGTTTCCCTGAGACTTACCACCAGTTAACTTATACCAGCTACGACGCTTGCTGTAGGGGACTCAGGCTCTTTCCCAGCTGTCTGTGCTTAGGTGCCTAGAGAGCCGCAAAGCTCTCGACATCCAAAGAAATGATTTTGTACGAGGAGAGGCACTGTGGAGGTCTGTGGTGGCCACGTGTGTGGTTTTGCTGGGGGAGAACAGATCCTGCCTGCTCATCCTAAACCACATTGTTCCAATCCTTGCTGGTCTCTCTGGGCCGTTCGAGGTCAGGGCACGCACCGTTAGCATTCTGTTCATTTTTGAGTGAATTAATCAACTAGCTGTTAGTCTCTGAGACACTTTCTTTTGCACATAGTACCTTGCAAAACTGATATTACATTACATTAGGAAACCACATTGTTTTATTGCAATAAAAATATAAGTTAACATTTTAAATACTATGTTAAAAATGTTACTCTAATTAAGTAACATCAAATTTTTCTTAAAGTAACACTTTCTTTTATTTGTGATAACAGAATCTTTGAAATGTTAAAACCAGAAATGCAGAGGCTAAGTTACCACTTCCCACATGCGTACATTTAGTCTTGCGATTTTATCACCTGTGTCTTCCATTTAAAAGGGTAATATCCTTATTTGGCTTCAAACTTTAAATACAAAAGTCACATCAAAGTTCAACCTATCATTACGTGCCTCTAAAAAATGAAAGAAAGCCATTCAAAGACATATCTTTTAATAGAAGTTGATTTCTAAGTATGTCCACCATAATAAGAGAATCAATCAGGAGTTAGCTCGAGTCTTGTAATTTTTGCTTTATGCAATTACCTTCTGAGTGATTGGATAAATAGTTAGAATCTGCATGGAGACCCTTCCCAGCTTCCAGAGGCCACATTGTGTGGTTTGTGGCCCTTGTTCTTCTTCAAAGCCAGAAGCAATGGACTGAATCCTTCTCCGGCTTTGACGCTCTTCTCCGCCTTCTGTCTCAGCTGAGAAAGACTGTCCACTTTGAAGAACTCACAATTACGTAAGGCCCTCTTGGAAAGTCCAGGCCCCTCTCCCCACCTGCGATGTCTGTTTCCCTGTGTACAGTCCCGTGCTCTCAGGTTTGGGGATTAGGGTGTGGACATCTTTGGGCAACGATTCTGCTGGCCCCACACACTGTCCCTGTCCATGGGCTTTGTGCATCTGTTACTAGGTATGAAAGTCATACGTGATCGAGGTGGGGACACGTGTCCAGGTGAAAGTGGAGTGAGGGGACTGGGCAGCTGGATGTGGCTGTGCCCCCTGCACTGACCCGCCCGTCTCAGTGAGCTTGCTATGAAATACAACTCTAAAGATTTCTATGACTACTAACCTTTTATTTTATATCTGTGTAGTTGAATATTCAAATCCAGATGCAGCTCTTCTATTTTCCCTATTAATTTTTGATTAGACACAATTAGATTTGATCCGTTGTTTGATTCTGTCCAGAATTTTTTCACACTGTTTCTATCATCCAATATAATAATTATATTTTTAGGCTTCTTGTGATCTTCAGATCTGAGGAGCTTGCCCCTATATTTTTGTCTGTAGCATTGATAAAAATAATAGGCAGCATGTGACTGAAGACGGAGACCAGCATAATGCCAACCAGGGTCTCCCACGAAGCCCCTGTGGAGGGTACCATGCCGCTCACCCAGCTCGTAAGCAGTCTCACCCTACCTCACCTAGCTCATATATCCACATCCTGATTACTTATGAATTTCAGATTAGTCACAGATTTTCAGTGTCTACAGCATCTCTCTGCTCTGTAGTCTCGTGAGCATGACAGCCCAGGCTGGGGGTGTGGCAGCCTGATTCTCAGCAGCCCATGCCTGTCCATCTGCAGATGGCCTGCTGTTCCCACGTAATGCAGTCAGCATCCTGCCCAGGATCAACACCAGATGTTCTGCCCCGACTGGAGGCGTTAAGCTTCCCTCTCTATGTAAATGAGCTGTAAGAGTTCTGACACACATCTGTCTCTGGGACTCCACGGCCTCAGTCACGGGGTCTGGGCATCCCAGCTTCCGTGTGTCACCAGATGCAGTGACTGCCCCCTTGGGCCCTACATGATACACAGCGGGCCGGAAAGGATTATCAAGTTCTGTGAACAGCCAGCACCCAGGCAGGTGGTCCTATGAACCACGGGGACGGCCACCATCAACACTTCACTCAAAGCAGCTGAATACCAGAAAAAAAGGTTCTTAAATGCAAGAACCAGTTGAATAAACAATTCATCTAAGGGCATCATCATATGGTTTCGCATCCTCTTCCTCCAAACGACAATGTAGAGCAGTTCGTCCTACAGATCCCCTTAATATCAACTAGGTTTGTAGATGTATTTGTATACCCATCTGTTTGAGGAACACTGACCTAGGAAATATTTAAATTCAAAGATATGCAAATTGCATTTTAAGAATCAGTAGAGCTCTGTGCTCTTTTTTATATGTTCTTTGGGGACTTCAGAATCAGATCTGGCAAGAATGGCGGTGGTAGGAGTGTGTACATAAAGGAGAGAGTGAGCTTGAAAAATAAGGTGGGGAAGCTCCCGGCTCCAGTGACTTTACAGCTACTGATGTGTTGGTTCAGCGGGCGACGGATGAGAGACCTGCTATGTTGGCCTGCACCTCTCACAGCCTGCTGGCAGACAACACAATGTATTTACTCTCAGTTTGTTAAAGATTTTAATAGAAGTTGATTTCTAAGTATGTCCACCATAATAAGAGAATCAATCAGGAGTTAGCTCGAGTCTTGTAATTTTTGCTTTATGCAATTACCTTCTGAGTGATTGGATAAATAGTTAGAATCTGCATGGAGACCCTTCCCAGCTTCCAGAGGCCACATTGTGTGGTTTGTGGCCCTTGTTCTTCTTCAAAGCCAGCAGCAATGGACTGAATCCTTCTCCGGCTTTGACGCTCTTCTCCGCCTTCTGTCTCAGCTGAGAAAGACTGTCCACTTTGAAGAACTCACAATTACGTAAGGCCCTCTTGGAAAGTCCAGGCCCCTCTCCCCACCTGCGATGTCTGTTTCCCTGTGTACAGTCCCGTGCTCTCAGGTTTGGGGATTAGGGTGTGGACATCTTTGGGCAACGATTCTGCTGGCCCCACACACTGTCCCTGTCCATGGGC